CATTCTTATTAGACTTGTCACCAGTCCATCCATTATCGCGACATTTCGCCAGAAGTTTTTGGTCAAAAACGATACTTTACAAGTATTTTTTTTTCGTTAGGTAGAAAATGGGAAATTCGTAATGTTTTAGAGGCAAATCGTATTTTCGTAATTTAACAAACAATTCGTAATAATTACGAAAAAATCGTACTAGTTGGCAGCTATGATCTTCTCTGTAGCCTTCAGACGTTTGGCCTCATCTCGCATCTGCTCTTCGAATTTATCAGCAAACAGATCCGGGCCCGTCAAGGGGAGATTTTCAAGTCTTTTGCGAGCACCCTGCGACGGGAGGAAAAGTGCATCGAGCACGTTACCCCGGCGGGTGGACCTTGATAGGGTCGACACGCGTGCGAATTGATCAAGCACTGAGCGTAGACCATGGTCGAGACAATGAAGGGCCGCAGTCAGCATATCTGCTGGAATCGGCGAATCTTCTTCATAGCCCACGGCCAAATATTCCGTGAGAAGAAGCAGGAAAGACGCTGATTTCAAACCGAAGCGTGAAGCTGTATCCATCTTCTTCAAAACATCTTCAAGTTTACCCCATGTTTTGTCCACAAAGGGCCGCTTGGAAGACGAACCACTCTCATCGGCCGCAAGTTTATCTTTTGCGGCGTCGGGGATGGTAGGCGGAGTGAAGAACTTCACCTGATCTTCAGCCGGGAAACGAAAATAATCCCGTTCTCGACTGAGAAACGGCCGCCATTTATCAGTTGACATGATGCTGTCGATACGTTCCACGCATACCTGATCTAAGGGAAGTACGGGGAATATCTTATCGCTGCTAGATGCGGAGCCCGTCCTTCGCTTGAAAGATTTATGATCAGGCGGAGGGGGCTCATCAGCGGAGGGTAAATGAAGTACTCTTATCATATCCCTCTGTACTAAACGGAGCTCCGTTTCAGAGATAGACAGCCGCTGTAAACGGTCTGGTTCCTCGTCGTCATCGGATGACTCAGCCGATTGTGAGGGCCGAGTTGACTCCGGTGAACGAGCGCCGTCAGGAGGGGCGAGTTGTACCGAGCCACGCGGTAGTGGCTGGACAACTTCCTCCGAGTCAAACTGCATAGACGGATGAATACTCAATACAGGTGGGGATCCCAGCGTACGCGGTAGGTCCCGCGGCCTCTGATCCACCCAACCGTGGCCCACGGCCGATGCATGCGAGACGCTCGCTGCAGGCCGGGCCTCCGGTGTACGGTCAACCACGTGCGGTATGTCCCGCTGTGCTTGGGCCACCCAACCGTGACCAACGCACGACAACTGTGAAGCCCTCACCGCAGGCGGGGACGCCGGAGCACGACTAATTGTGTGCGGTATGTCCCTCTGTTCCCGGGCCACCCAAGCGTGACCGGTGACTGAAGACTGTGATGCGGGCCCAACGACCGATGGCTGTGGGCCGTAATCCACCGCTGCAGGGGGGCCCCCAATAGGGCCCGCCCGGCGGCCTGCCGACATAGCCGATAGCGTATCGGAAATTGACTGGAAAGCCAGCAGGAAATCTGCCCTAGAAACCGCGTCCTCCCCCCGGGAGCGTTTGCCCCGGCGGGACCGGTCAGAGGAGTCGTCAGACCCCGAAGAAGAACAATGTAATCGGCGTGCAGCCTTCTTCTTCTTACTCTTCTTTTTAGAAGAACGGCCCCGAGGTGTGTCCGAGGAAAACTCGGAAGACACCTGGGGCACCGGGACCCCCGAACAACGGAAAAATTCCGATGACGAGAGTAGTCCCTCTGAGCGAGCTAGCACGGGGGCCGTCGGCCCGGGATCCCCCGGGGCGATCGGCTCCGTATCGCTCATAATGCACCCGGCCGACAGCGCCTCAGGCCCCGTGGGCTGAGCGAGCGCTGGACGGACCGGTAGCCCGTGCAATAGCCCATCCCGACAACCAGTGGTGTTCGGCACTGTGTCGGGAGGGCACGGGTGACTAGAGCCCACCGAAGTGTGACGGCTAGTCCCCTCGGGCTGCCCCGTGACCGGGGGAGGGCTAGGTGCCAAAGCGGCGCTCGTTGCCGAGCCACGCTTGCCCTGACGGCCCTTCTTAGGCTTTGCTCCGGCACAGGAGATATGTTTTAGGGGAACCTTGCCGGAGTGTGCCTTTAGTTTGGGTGTTCCGCCCGAGTCGACCGGAGAAGGTGACCGAGGTCCCCTTAACTGATCGGCGGAACTGCCAACTCCCCCAGCCGACTGTGGCTGAGGGTGCCGGACGAGAGACTGCTGCCGCGGTAACGTCGGAGCGTTAACGGCAGAGTCCCCCGAGAACTCGGTCCGTCCCGTGGGAGAGCTTGGGATAAACTTAGCTAGATTTTTTTTAAAGGACATCCACATCACATGACCGCATGGTTTGTTAATGGGGGTATTTAAGTAAAATCTGGTAATTTTTGGTTTAGTTTGAAGATTTTTTATATACGAAATTTTCTTTTTTGGGAGGGGGGGGGTTCAATTCAATGATACCTTGGCTTATATTCGATATTTGAACCTTACAGATACTGACAGCATGGGGCCCCCGCAGCTCAATTTACGTATCAATCTCCGATCACATGCTCGTCTTAGCACTTCACCTAACCATGCAACCCTTCTAAAACCAGGAAATGCCTCAGATCCCCCAGAACATTGGCGAAAAAAAATGGCAGCTACCAATCCCAAGAAGTTAAAAAAAATTAGAAATTATGAAGCACATAAAGCTGTAGAAAGGAGAGAAAGTTGGGATGATGAGCGAAGAAAGAAAGAAAAAAATGCATCCAGAGAAAGAATGAGGATTTACCGCCAAAGATGCAGGGATAAAAAGAAGACCAGGCTAAATAAGCAAGAAGCACAGATAAACGAAAGCAAGCAGCAGGAGCATTGGAGAAACGCAAAACGCATTCAGCGAGCTCTGTGGCCAGAAGAAAAACAAAGCAAGGTTAATGAGCAGCGAAGAAATAAAAGAAGACAGGAAAGGGAAGAGTTACTGTAGTACAGAAGGAATATGCTAGCAGCAGAAAACGAACTAAAAGAACAAGAAAAACACATGGATGAAGATGATGAGGCAGAATACCTTGCTTCCGAATCAACACGAAGGTCACGAACAGCAAGACGGCAATCTGCTCACAGGGCAAGAAAGGCTGTATCCAAGTCACCGTCGCAGTTGCAGCAACTGTTTATGACTTATTGAAAGGTGCATCACCACGAAAGCGGCAAGCTCTGAAGCAAATGGGTGTTACCTTCACACCCAGTAACATTGACAGCATAGTGGTGACAAATCTCGCGAACAAGTTGAAGACAGACAACAAAAAACGATCCAAAGAAATAAGAGCTTCAAGGCAACTACTGGCATCATCTTTGGCAGTTTTAAAGAAGTATACAAAACAAGAATATGCAGTCAGACGGTTCGGGATCTCTCGGAAATGATGAGGATGAACAGACCTGAAAACTACCGAAATGGAAAAGAACTATGTACAGACACAGTAAAAATTGTTCACAAGTTCTACCAGGAGAATTCAGCTGAAGTGGCTGACAAAAAGGCAGTGAGTAAAAAGAAGCTTCTGAAGACACGTATCCTTCAAAGACCAATCGCGACGTTGTTCAATGAATTCAAGAAGACCTTTCCAGACATACAGATTGGCAAGTCATCATTCTTTAAACTGAGACCAAAACACATCAAGTCATCCACAACTACATGTAACTGCACTGCTTACAGTAAGCAAGCATGTCGTATCCATGACATGTTCACCGCCAGTGACATGACACTGTGCCCAAAACAACCTGGCAAAACATTCCATGAGCTGCATAGACAGGAGATGCAATCAGTGTGGTGTGCAGGCTGTATCGCAACATCTGCATCCACTGTTGGAGGCTGCTGAGGGCAAAGTAGTGAAGTGGAGCAAATGGCAAAGAATGAAAGAAACAATCACAAAAGCAGGTAAAGAAAAGGAAGTTACTAAAGTACTGAATGTCGCACAAGAGGGAGCAGTTAACGTTCTCATCAATGAACTGATTGATGAATTGCAAAGCTTTTCTATGCATCTCTTTAACTGGGCATGGCAGCATGATCAGTACAACATGATTTTCAACAATCCACTGGAAGGGCATGTAGTGATGATCCTCGACTTTGCTGAAAATTATACTTGTATGCAACAAGATGAAGTGCAGTCCAGCCATTGGACACATGATCAAGTAACAATTCATCCCGTGGTTGCATCGTATCAGTGTCCCAAGTGCACAGGAGAAAGTGTTCATACCATTCTGCACTCCCTCGTATTCATTTCAGATGATAGAAAACACGACCACAATGCTGTGCACCAGTTCTACACAGAATCTGTTAAGTTTCTGAGCAAAAGCATCCAAATTTCAAAGGTTATACGTTTCTCGGATGGGTGTGGCTCACAATACAAGTCAAAGGGCCCATTCCAAGACGTTGCAAATTCCGGCTCCGAGCTTGAGCACCACTTTTTTGGATCGAGGCACGGCAAGGGTCCTTCAGACGGTGAGAGTGCTGTCATAAAAAGGCAGGCATTGATGGCAGTGACAAATAATGCAGCATACATCCCTGACGCATATTCTCTCTTCAAGTATTGCGCTGAGCATCTGACGAAAGGTCAGAATGATGACTGCCATAAGTTTAAGAGGGATGTATTTTGGGTTCCAAAAGATCAAATTAATCATGGCAGAGAAGTTCCCAAGGAAGCAGTCAGAGGAACAAGAAAACTTCACTGTGTGAAAAAAATGAGCCCAGGGGTGCTTGGCACAAGGCAGCTTTCCTGCTTTTGTAATAATTGCATGGGTTGCTCATCAGGTGAATGTGCAAACTTCGAGTATGTGACAAAGTGGAAGAAGGTGACACTAGGAACTAATCACACCAGTAGAGGTAAAATTTTAATTTACTTTTTTGAATCTAGTAGACTTGGAAAAATGCTCAGTGAAATGCAACTTACATATATGTACATGTTTTCCCTATTCATCAAATTAACCTGTTGTTGTTTTTCAGTAGGGAAGAAATCTCAGGATGTTGCAAAAGCAAAGGCTTTCCATGGGTCCGTTGCTAATACTCCTAGAGGTGAGATTTTTTGTTTTTTGTTTTGTTTTGCAATAGGTGTACCTTAACTACGCAGGTTGAAATGTAAAACTTGTGTTACATTTTGTGTTTTGTTTTTCCCAGTGGCCAAAAAATTCCAACGTGCTGTGAAGAAGCAAAAGTCTGTCCGTGGATCTGATGCTGACGCTAATGGAGGTAAGAAAACATGTTTTTATTACTCTACCTTAACTACTCAGGTTGAAACTAAAACTTGTTCATGCATTTCTTACTTTACACGTTTTTTTTTCAGTGGGGAACACATCACAGGATGTCACGAAGCCAAAGGGTACCCATGGGTCATCTGCTGATGCTCAGGGAGGTAAGAAGTTTTTAACTGTACATTTTGTTTACCACTTTTATGGTACAGTTTATTCACTGTTTGTTCACATTAACTTCATTGACCAAGAACTCACAGGAGAGGTAGAAATCTGTTGAAAGTCTGTCTGCTTCTGATGCTTGTGGAGGTAAAACAATCTCAATTGTCCAATTGTTGGAAACATGTATGTGGTTGCAAACTGTATGTGAGTTTCTTATTCTGAAGTGCATTTTACATTTCAGTGGAACATCTTGCAGTGGGAGACTTTGTGCAGGTGTCGGTTGAAGTAAAGGGAAAGACAACAAGGGAGGAGCTGTTTGTAGCCAAGGTATGTGTTGCCTCTTTTTTTTTTTAGAATCTTGTTTTTGTGATGTTTTTGTGACATATTTTATTCACCATGTACATTATTTTAAATTTTTTTTTTTTTATTTTAAATATTTCAAATTGTTGACCTGACAGATTGTGGTGTTCGTCTCACCTACATGCGGCGTCAAGGCGCTTTTTACACTTGGCCCCTGGGCGAAGAGCATATTTATCATCATCCGCTCTGTGACGTCAAACAGAAGCTCAGTGCTCCTGAACCGGTGTTGATAGGCTCCAGAATGGTTTTTAATTTTAAGAAGTGAACAACATGAACAAAACTATTACAAATCACACGATTATGAGTGGTTATGTTTTATTTGGATATCCAACATATTAACATTTAGTTTCTTGACTCAAACTTTAAAGCCTTGCAATGAAAGATGTAACAGAGATACGGTGTCCTTGTTACGTGGGTAACATCTATATGAGCAACAAATTTAATCCATTTCCTGATCGTGCAGCATTACAATTGTTCATAGTTGTGTTGCTCATTTCTGCTCTTCTCTGCAGAAGCCAAAATAAGTGCTGTCATGGAGTGAGTCTTGAGAAAACAGGAATATTGCTAAGGAGAGGGAATTTTTTTGCATATCATTTAACTTCACCATATACAGTAGATTGTTTTCCCACTGAATTTATATAATTAAAATGTAATGTCACTCAGCCGAGTCACTTCGTACCCTGTTCTAACAAGACACTTCGTACCTTTCGTACCTCAAACTGATTATGGTTTTCTGCTAGCAATAGCTTGAATAATTCCAGCCCTACGGCTCCTGCCTCGCCATGTAGGGCTGGAAGAAGTTGTCGACATTTCCCGCGGGTCACAGAAAATCGTATCTCCCTTTGTCAATCGAATTTTACAGAATCGAATTTCACAGAATCGAATTTCACAGAATCGAATGTCACAGAATCACGCACCGTGCATACCAGCACAGGCTGGTTGACGTTCGATTATGTGATATTCGATTCTGTGAAATTTGATTCGCGTACACAAACCGACGGTTGGTCTTGATCCAAACCCCCAGTAATACAAAATTACGTGTGAACTGTGCACTACAAATAGGGAACCCATCTTGAAATCATTTTCGAAGTGTCTGACAGCGTTTGTGACCTGCACTGGGTGCGATCGTGTTGGAATTTTTTTTTTTTCCCCATATTTAAGTGAACCCTGTTTGATTTTCAATCAATCCTGTGCTTCTTGGAGGACTACTGCATGTAGAGGGTGAGTTTTATGTGAAGAAGTTCTGATAGGCCTATGTGGGCGAAAAACATTGACAAAGGGAGGAATGATTTTCGTTCCTGTGACCCTCTGGAAATGTCAACAACTTCTTCCAACCCTAAACGGCAAGGCAGGAGTCGGAGGGTTGGAATTATTCAAACTAGTTTTCTGCCTCGTTTCGAGAGGGTCACGCTGCCGAGGGGGAGTATGCATTTCCGAGAATGGGCTGCAACGGCATGAAAAGTTGGCCACAAAGCCAGAAAAGTTTGGGCTTCTTCTGTTGGAGTTTATTGTATCATATGAAGAGTGTGCCTCTCTCACGGTGTATGGCACTGGTAAAGATAAACAGGGATGCTAAAAAAAACCACTCCACACCAGTACATGTATAAGGAGAGCGCTGAGAAGTAAGTATTTGTGTAAATAAGTGTTAATCTGCTAGCAGGTACTTACAGAAGGTATACAAAAATCATCCCAAAAACTGGAAGATCACGAAGAGGACACATCAGACAGTTCCAACTCAACCAGGCCAGGACCGACACATATGCATCCTCATTTTTTTTTTAAGAACACTTAAAAATTGGAATGACCTCCCGGACTCAATGGTGGCGCTTAACAAACCAGACTCCTTCAAGAATGCACTTAGTGACAAAATCTAATCCTGACCACTCTCACTACACCGCACCTCCAGTTTAAATTCCCTAGATTCCCTAGAGGACCACCAACCAAGTACCAAGTACCAAGTATTCACAACACATTTCAAAATGTCAAAAAAAACCACTAATGTTTTCTGGGGAAGTGTCAAATGAAAGGTATCGGTATCCCTCTTCCAGAATCTTAATTGTCCATTAGGCACATTTCTTCATCGATGGATTCAGGGGTAGCTGTGTGTGGCAATGATTTTGATGAGGAACCAGATGACGCTGACATATGATGTTGCCACTAGAAGATGGCCTATGCAAATTTCTATGACGTAACCTGCGTCATTAAAGTAATGGAAATACATAAGGGCAGATGCGCCTCTAGTGGCAACACTGTATTTGTACGTCAGCGCTGCCTGTCGTACTAGTTCTTCATTGAAATTGCAACAGGCTCACAAAGTTTGCAATTAAATCTATTCTGCACACCTTATTATGAGACGATTGTCACATTTTGCAAGGTGGGCTGATTTTTCGAGTGTGAAGTTTGGGAATGCTACAATGTAGCTGCATGCAAACACTTGTTTAAGATCATATTTTCATGTCTTTGCGATTCTTTTTTCAGCCCACATTTTCAAGGTCTTCCCAATGCCATTTGCCGATGAGGAGAAGAGTTGGGACTGTATGGTGATCAGGATGAATGACAAGATTCGTGCTATAAAAAAACAAGTACAAACTCCCTGAGGAGATTGAAGTTAAATTAGTGTAGTGTGTGTGCATGGACTTCAGCAACTGTATATATGTAACGAACAGTCAACATGATTAAAGGGACACACCGACTTCGTCGGGCTATTTGGGTTACAAAATAGACTAAAACATGATTCCAAAGGTCTTCCTGGAATGGAGAAGAATGGTTCCTAAAAGAAACCATCAAATTTGACCGTTTTCGAGCATTTTGTCAGAAAACGAAGGTCACGTGACTTATCCGAACCGGTTCGGATAAGTCACGTGATCTTCAGAGTTAGTTTTACTTCCAACCGTATAAAAGTAAATTACTGAACCAAATTTAAGTCTTTTTTTTTAACAATTAGTCATGAGTATTTGACAAAAAAGACTATGTATTCAGATTATGGATACAAGCTGCAAATAATGATGAAAAATCGAACGCTGACCTTTGACCGCATTTTGGTTTTTTCACATTTTAATGATTTTTTTTACAACAACCTTCTAAAATTGTCCCTTTAAATTGTGTCATATAGGATGTGCAGTTTTTTACACAGCTGCACAGTGTAATGTTGAGGATATTGTTTGAACGGTAAGACGTGATGTATGGCAAAAGATGATAATAAATTCATAATTGTGGGTATAAAAACTTCTTTTTTCAGTTATTTCAGCTTCTCACAGGTGGAATTTAACCGGGATCCCGGTGGGATACTTCGGGATCCCGGTGGGATACGTTGGGATCCCGACAAAATTTCCCGCTGGGATAGGTCGTGAATCCCGGTGGGATACTGACTGGGATCCCACTGGTCTCCACAAACAGACCAAAGATGAACAAAGTTGTACTCTGCTTCACATAGTCTGGGGAGATGCAAGAGAAGTGTACCACACTTTTTATTTCGATGATACGGAAGACAAAGAAGATGTCAATGTTCTTCTCGACAAATTTTTGCAGCATTTCCTACCAAAGGTGAATTTCACTCTCGAAAGATATAACTTTCAGAAGCGAAACCAACAGACCGGCGAGAGAATTGAACAGTATTTAACTGTTCTCCGCAATTAAGCCAAGAAATGCGACTTTGGTGAACTCAGAGACAGCCTCATCAAAGACAAGCTCGTCATCGGCATCATTTCGGACACAGTCCGTGCACGCCTACTTCGAGATGCAGATATGACTTTGTCAAAGGCAATCGACATCTGCAAAGCAGCAGAGCTGGCTAGCAGTCACATGACCCATATACAAAGTCAACAGCACCAAACAGCAACAACCGTCCATGTTGTCAAAAAGACGTCATCTGGACCCAGAGCACCATGTTCGAGATGCGGAACGAAACATCCCGCCCGACAATGCCCTGCCTACGGAAAGACCTGCAACGCTTGTGGTGGACAGAACCATTTTGGGACAGTTTGTCGCAAGAAATACAGCAGCCAATCATCAGACAATTCTCAACGCCAACGGAGTCAACATCATGACAAACGCCGACCCAAGAAGTATGGATCATCACGTCGAAAAGTCAACGACGTGCACGTCTCCAGTGCACCGTCCACCGAGGACGACTACTCATGGAGTGATGCTGAGGAATTCCTGCTGGATGAGATAACAGCGAACACTAAGCAACAAGAGTGGTATGTAAATCTCAATTTAACATACTCACACTTAAATGGCCAATCTCATTCCAAAAATGTCAAATTTAAATTAGACACTGGAGCACAATGTAATGTCATGTCTTGCAATACATACCAAAAGATTGGTAAACCACAGATGGAAAAATCGAAGACAAAACTTGTGTCATACTCAGGGCATGCAATTGAATCGCAAGGTCGATGAACTATGTTAGCAGAAAGACATGGAAAATATCAAGTTCTGCATTTTCAGGTTGTAAACAAACCAGTATATTTACTTGGTCTCCCTTCCATCAAACAGCTAGGTTTGATCGCAAAAGTTGAGACTGTAAAAGAAAGTCACAAAGAAGAAAAAACACCAAAACCAAGCAAAGAGTTGCTAACAACTTAAAAGGACGTGTTTGAAGGTGTAGGGTGCGTAGACCAAGAGCAGCACATTCACATTGATAAAGATGCGACCCCTGTAGTGCATCCTCCTCGCAAAATACCAGTGTCGCTACGACCATTGGTTAAGAAAGAGTTGAAACGCATGAGAGATCTAGGGATCATAAAGCAAACAGACCCAACTAAATGGGTAAGCTCGATGGTAACAGTTGCTAAAAAGGAAAAAAATGCAGTAAGGATATGCCTTGACCCTAGGGATTTGAACAAAGCTATACAGCGACCTCATTTTCCAATGAAAACCATTGAAGACATAGCAGACAAACTAACGGGAGCTAAATTTTTCAGTACACTAGACTGTAATTCAGGATTCTGGCAAATACCACTAGACAAGGAAAGCTCAGAACTCCTCACGTTCAATACACCAGAGGGCAG